TATGAGTTATAGTTAAATTATATATGACATATATTTTTAATAATATATAAAATATACATTTATTAACAGAATTACACATACAGTTATTATTATTATATAACATTGTAATAGTAATAATCATAATTATAGTCACAAATAGGTACTAAAAATTTTTCTCTCAATATACCTGGGATACCGTGCCATTCTGTTTATCAACTTAAAGATTAATATAATATATAAGCTTTCGATATCAAAATAAGTATAATAATAAGCTCTCGGGGCATTTTTTCACATGGAAATCTTTGAGGAGAGAATAATCACATAGCATAAAGCAATCGCACCGATAATTCATCTTGGCAAATTCTCGACGCTTAATCTTCGAGAGGCAAATATCTGACATTTCAACGAGCGCTAACCGGCAGCGGGTTATACGAAAATAAACCGTTCGTGACACGTGCTCGCTCTTCCTTTTTCCACGCGTTCACCGAAGAGGATTTGCAGTCTTTGTTTTAAATCAACAAAAATTACAAAGTGAAAAATGCAACGATATGTGTCGATATTTCGTTCAATCAAACTATCACTTCAATTCTTAATTTAATTCGAATTTATCGGTATTCGATCAAAAATATTCTTTGCAGCATGTCATGCTCTGCGGAAAAATAAATCAGAATATCATAGATATAGACGCATATACGGAGCATTATGCAGAAGAATGTCATAAGATGAGAAGCTGATTTATAGAATTAGGTGAGAATAAGGAGGAAATATGGAGTAAGTCATGGAATGAAGATTTAGATACTATGAAAGAGGCAATCTTCTAAGGAATCTTCTAAGGAAATTGTGGAAAGAGAGAAATGGGGGGGAGGATAGATAAGGATTCAAGCATTGTATAGAACAATTAATTAGTAAGAGAAGTAGAAAAAGAGCACAAAAATAAAGAAAAATGTTAGAATTTTGTGTTTGAGCAAAAATTGAGCAATAATCAGATAAATGTAAAAATGTAAAATAGTACGAGGTATCTGATTAGAAAGATCGATGAAACTTAGGATACAAAAGATAAAAGATAAAAGTAAGTTTAAGTAATATTTAGCTACCGAATTTTAATTAATTATTAATCATAGATAATGATATAGATAAATGTATGAGATCAAGAGAAGAAATTATAAATAAGTAACTTTTTGGCGTAGAAGCTAAAATAATAAATATCCTATTTACATGTAGTCACATGTAGATTTATAATTTATATTTTAACGTGCGAAACAAAATGTAAAATTGAGTTCTGTATAAAACTGATTATAAAGCAGTATTGAGTGATTATAAAGCGATTTTTATCATAAAATTTTGCAAACCTTTGCTTTTATTTTTACTTTCACATTATTTATATAACACATATATGTTAATCCTGTAGAGAAAAAAAAAGTAAAAATTTATTTAATATATTTAATGCAATCTTTTGTAGTTTTCTATATATTGTGTTTCATATAAATTTTGTCACACATGAAATTTTTACAAATATTGTTGTAATCTATTGATCATTCTAACAAGCTTTTATGATTTTTAGATCATCAAAAATTATATGTTTATAATAATAAGTCTATTAAAATAATAAATCTTTTATCTTATTATCTTTTATACTTGTCATAGCCGTTGATTGACGTGTTAATTAACCACAATAATCGCGCGTTATCGGGAAGGATTAAGTTCTGACGCTATCACAAAGGAATTATTATTTCTCAAGCGCGATTGAATCTTGACGTCAGCATAATTCGAAGCATTTCCCGAAATACATACGTGCGATTCGATTAAGCGGTTTGTCTGCGACGGAAATTGGAATGTCGATGATTTAAACGTACCCGATTAGTATATTATATTGTAAACCATCGACGGACATCCGCGTCATAAGCAGCCTCTTCAAAATGAAGTGGAAATCAAGACTCATATATAAATATTGTATATGGTTCTGATAAATGGTAATTCAATTTAGCGAAAACTAAATATAAGCAAAATCTCTTGACAAACACATGACTGTGATAGAGGAAACATTTCGACAAATTACTACCTGAGATGCTGACTGAAGGTAATTCTGAATAAACGTTAATTGCTCATTTCCATTTTTTACATTATATGCATAACAGAATACTTTACACAAACGCGATCTACGTTTCAGATGTACATGGAAAGAACAATTTCGCTAGTATCTAAAAATTTAGCTACATAGAAAATAACTTTGTTGGATTACATTAAAATAATTTAAAAATCTAAAAAATATCGATGTAAATTTAAAATTATGCGGTATCTATATAATTCTCTATATAATACTGTGATGTTAATATAAACACCAACATGTGAATTTATACAGGATTGTCACAAATTATTCATTCTAACATTTCATAACTTTTCCTTGATTTTCAAACAAAGTTATGATTTTTTTTACTATCAATAATATTTTTAATTTTTTTAATATTTTCCTGATTTGGAAAATGTTAAATATTTTGTTGAGAGAGATTAATTTAACACAGCAATGTAAATTGCTATTAATGTTGCTAACATTACTATTTTTAATTGTTAAATTGGTAATATTCTAAAATTACTATAGTATTAAACTTCTTTGAAGTGAATTTTAATTTTCCAGAAAATTTTGCAAAATTTTCTGACTCTTTCCTGATTTCTCTTAATTTTTTATTTCCCTAACAATTCCCTGATTTCCCTGATTTCCAGTTTTGTTATAATCTCTAGTGTTTACATCAATCTATGCTATTAAATCCACATAATAATTTTAAAAGTGTAGGAATCTCAAGCATGACAATATTGTTGACAACAAGTTTTTAATTCAAGTAACCAGTTTGAGCAATCTACATAATTAGTTTGACCCAAAATTAAAATTATTTTTAGATCTGTATCAAGCTAATTTTTTAGGTACTTCCAGTAAAATTCTTTCCGTATAGAAATGGCGAGACAGAGGAAGAACTACAATCGGAATCAAACGACACATGCGTAATCATCGTTCGGAGAAAACTACGGCTTTGAACACGTGTATGAGAAGACGACAACAGCTGGCGGTGGTAGTTTCCGATGGTGGGGACAAGTAACTGAAGTAACACGCGTGGCACTCATACGGCCGATCGCGACGTATCAGATTGATAAGGACATTTTTACCCAGCGTGGTGCTCCTCACACCACGGTGGCGAATGGACGCACGTTATTTCCGCGAACGCCACAATATCGCTTCCGTACCGCGAATTACGCGTAATAACGCGCAAATATCTACAGGATACCCCGCAGTCACCATTGGCAGTGACCATCCTCCCTATTCCTCAACTACTCTGAAGACAAGATTTATTCTTTCTTGAATAACACAAACGCGATCGGAGAACCGCATCGCCAGTTGATAATGCAAGCTTCACGTTCGTAAGTTTCAAATACACTAAATGGTGAAAAGTTACTTTAGAAAAGTTATTTTAGAATTTAATTGTAGAAGAGTTTAAAAAAAGTGGCCAATTCAGCGTAGATAAGGAAACTTGAAACGAATGGCAATAGTTCTAAAATTGAATATTCATCATACGTAATGTATATTAAAGAGTTTTCACAAGATAGAATGAATAATAAAAATGCAAGACTACCTTTCACTGTTTAATTTTATTTTACTAATCCTAATTCTTAATTTAAGCGCGAATAATTCATGAATATTTTACTATGTTAATTTATGTAACATTAAGAAAATTGTATGCGCTTTTTGGAGCGGATCGTTTAGTTGACGGTTAGATAAACAATTTATCAAGAGCTCCAAAATTTAAATATGAAAAAGAAAGATCACTTACCGTTGAGACCATACTTCTCCTGATTCCTTTTGACTTGATCGGGACTTAGTCCCTGATCGGGATCGACGTTGAAGTAATTTATCACTTCTTCCACAGTTTTACAATGGCCGTCCTCCATGGTTATTGCTTCGTAGATGCTTCACCAATGTTATCCTCTCAGTGATGATCGTGTACGTTCATTCACACTAACAATTTCTGAAAATAAACAGAGTTATTTGTTACACAAAATGTTCGTTATATATACCAAAAATAAAGAGAGTAACAGAACAGAACATCATCAGAGAATTACTTCGATGTAAATAAATTAAGCGCGAGTAAAAAAAAAAGTAGCACAAATTATCAAATAACAATCAGCAAGCTTTTATGAATAGTAGGTCATCCATCCTGAATGAAATAGTTAAAAGATTGAATAAACTGAATATTATCAAAAGAATTAAATACCGTACTTAATCCTTATTCAGACTTATTTAGTTGAATGTATTGATATTATATATTATATACAATGCGCGTGCAAAAATTATTGATAGATGGGAGATATCTTTAAAAAATCTTATATATTTTTAACAAATAAACAGTAATTAGCAATTTTTTAACAAAAAATAGAATAGGGCTGTTTAATTATTCTCAAAATTATTTTTTCTAAAAATATGTGTGTTAATTAATATATATTATCTTAAAAATACATGAAAAATTATATTATTTGGACGTACAAAAGTATTCGTACAGTAAAGAAATTTAAATTCTAAGATCGAAAAGACGCGAAGTTCTTTTGTTTATATTAAGACAGAATATACTCAGCGTAAAAAATTGCTAATTAATGTTTATTTGTTATTAACTTGTCTTGTTATATAAAGTTCCTCTGTAGGAATACTTTTTGCATTCACTATATTATTATATAACTGTTATTACTTTATCATTACATTATATTTCATGTACTATATGTAATACGTATTAGGGACCAAATGTTTCAATCATACAATATTGTCTTTATTTATTCTCAAAATGCTAAGTTATGAGATAAAAAAAATTAAGAAAATAATATTTTTCAGAATATCTACAGAATTAAATCCTTTTTTTAGATATTACAACATCTATATGAATTTTTTTATCAACAATTGCGTCTATAAATTATTAATAAATGTAACAATTTATTTTATGGCTTATTAATAAATGTAACAATTTATTTTATAGCGTTATTAATGATGAAATTTGACCTTAAATACATGCAAAAGACTTGAGTTTCAAATTAATTTTAAGTTAATTTTACAGTTTCTTATAACACATTCTTTAATTTTTTAATTATTTAGAGATTATATAGAGATTAATTATCTCTTAAACGTCATATATGTCATAGATAAAAAAATGTCTAATTATTACATTTCAATTTTTTAACAATTTTTATGAACATATATATATA